AAAGGACTAGACACATGCTGCACCTATTACCATGCAATGAGGGGAACAATCTGCTGTAGCTTTGCATGGCAACCAATCAGCTTCTATCTCTTATATTCAAAGCTTAGCAAGATAGAAGCTGATTGGTTGCCATGTGCAGATGCTCCAGATCCTGCTGCAGTTTCAATAAATCCCCCCCATGATTTTCCCCATTGCTCCTTTAAGCAGCTGCTTACACACGTCCTAAAAATATTACAAGTCCCTTTACTAAGGTGATCCCGTACAAAGTATACTAAGTACACTCTGCTCGGCACAGCTCCAATCAGAATAGCGTACTCTACCTTCATTCCACGGCAGGACACGCCCCCTCACCTGCCAGTACATCCATCAACCAAAAAGAGCGGCTGTGCCCTCCCACCGCCCCGCCTCTATTGGCCATATATGGCTAGAACTACATTTCACAGGAGCGAGTGTTCCTGGCTTGGATCAGGTGGTACTTGGTGCCCTATCAGGATAGAGAATGGGCGGAAGTCGGTTTTGTTGTGGTGTTTGGCGCTCGTCGGCTGCTAACCATGTCGGAGAAGGCGTTGAGGATGTAAGTGTGGTCCTGTGGGGGTGACTGGCGTGTCCGAATCTGACTGTATCCATAGTACTGTAGGCAGGCACTGCTGGTCTTATACACGGGTCCTAGTGACCAATGTGGGGGCGCAGTACCTTCTCTACGTGCTCCAAGAAAACCTGTCATTCATGGGAGCTTGTATGGAAACCTGTGCTGGGGGGAGGGAGGGTAACCTTCACCAAGCTGCTCTGCTTCTGCACTGGAGATGATGGACCTGGCTGTACTGTTTTACAGGCATGGGGGGGGGGGAAGCACAGCAGTGGCTGCATGGAGTTAGAAGTGCTGTGCCAATAAAAGCCAATATGTATGTCTAGCTGTGTGCTTGTAGATCAGCTGTAAAGCCAAGCTCAGGGCTACAGACTGTCTCCGCGTGTAGGCGCGCTCGCTGGGAGTCCTCCGCGTGTAGGCGCGCTCGCTGGGAGTCCTCCGCGTGTAGGCGCGCTCGCTGGGAGTCCTCCGCGTGTAGGCGCGCTCGCTGGGAGTCCTCCGGAGAAGAGGTACTACAAGAGACACATTGCTGGGAAGGTTGATATTTGTATAGTGCTGTCAATTTACATACTGATAGTACATTTACATTAGTCCCTAACCCTCGGTGTATAATCTGAAGTGCCAAACTTGCATACACATACAAAAACCAATTTTGGCTAGGATCCAATTGACCGAAGAGCATGTCTTTGGTGTGTGGGAGGAAAACAGAGTATCTGGAGGAAACCCACGCAGCCACAGGGAGAACATCTGAACTCTAGGCAGGTGGTGCTGTGGTTGGGATTTTAACCAACAACCCTAGTACTGGCAGGCCAGAGTGCTAACCATTTAGCTGCTGTGCCGACCCAATTGCTTCCAGTGCTTGGTGGTGGTTTTGTTGGGGTTTTTTTTTTTTTTTTTTCTTCAATTTCCTCATCTCTTCCATTAGCTGATGTTCTATATATACCTCCTATTTTTTCCCAAAATCTCATCTTTTTATCTTGTATACAAAATCTACTCTACTTATCCAGTCTTTATATTTGGTGCTTTTTGCCAAAATGTAGGTATAAGTCCCTTTGCTGCATTTATAAGATGAAATATCACCATATTTTTCTACCGTTGTCTGTTTTATGGAATAAGTATGTGGCTGTATCTTTCGGGATGCTAACCTCTGATCCCCTATATTTGGTGTATTTCACCCTAATACTGCTGTATCTTGGGTACCCCCACCAAATATGTGCCTACACTCCCATATCCCCTCCAACACAGAGGTGACCTATCTATTTGTTGCCTATGTGCCACACTTGGTGTAACATACCACCTAGCTAACACTTATAGTTCATTTCTACTACTTTTCATATCTACAGCCCCTTGTGCCAATCTATAGATTTTTTTCTCTCTGCTGCTCCATCTAGTGGTATTCCGAAGTCCCTTTCCCATTTTACCATTTTGGGGGGGGGGGGTACACAGTAAGAATTTTATAAATTTGAGGTCCCCTGTTTTCTTATCCTTCTAGTATCCAATTCAAATGGATTAACATCTGCCACGGTCCTAAGGGGCTTGGGGAGCGATACTACTACAAGGTGTCTTAATTGAAGATATCGCCGCTCATCTAACTTAGAGAATAACTCCTTATTTTTGAGCTCCTGGAAGGAGCATATTTCACCTCTTTCAATATCTGTTGTGTTTTTTTTTTTTTTTTTTTTTCTCCAACTGCTATCAGAATTCCCCTGATATATGCTTTATGTGCTTCCCATACCATGGCCATCAAAACATCTTCAGTCTCATTTTTTTCAAAGTATTGGTTCTCATCTTTTATTTTTTTTTATTCCGATTATGATCCTGAAGGAGTCTCATTTAATTTCCATGTGTTTCTTTTATCCTGCTCTTCCCCATAGTAACTTCAATGTGACAGGTGCATGATCTGATATAGTTGTAACTTCTATATTTTAACTGCTGAGTCTATGTTCTACCGGTATGTAGTCTAATCTAGATTATGTTGCATATCACTGAGAATAGAATGTATAGTCTCTACCCTGGGGTGTTTCACCCTCCAAGCATCCAAAATCTATGGTTGAAATCTATGCGGAAAGTTTATTTCAATGCCATTTACCTTCCTCTCTGCCCATGCAACGTTGTGTCAATTAGAGGATCCATGCAGAAATTAAAGTCTCCTGTCACAAGTAACCGGTCTTTGAAATCCATCAACCTTTCCAACATGTTTTTCAAATAGATCAACGGGCTTCTCTTCAGACAATAAATGTTTGCCAATGTACACTTCTTGTGTTCTCCTTTCTGAAATAAGTCATCCCTCGGGATCAGCCATCTTATCTTCCAGTTTAAATCTTACATCTTTTGCTATACCAATTGCCGCACGTTTAATTGGAGAATCTGCATAATTCCAGATTGGGTAGCATGTAAAGTGTTGTGTTTGTTTCCTATGGTATATGGGTTTCATGTAAAAATGCTACTGTAATTGTCACAATTCTCTAAGGATCTTATGCATTTTTTTTCTCAGCCCTCTAACATTTTATAGGTCACAAAATTAACTTCCATTTTGTGTGTCCATAGGAACGCAAGGCTAAGTCTTACATACCTCACCCCCTCCCCCAGCCCGTTTATGGACTTGGCCCCACAGTCAATACCACACTAAGGTGGAGCTCTGACCACACCCCCCCCAGACCACATTACTCTACCCTAGGCCGCTTGTCTGGATATATCTTCTGCTCCCCACTTCCCTGTCTTTCATCTGACTTTCCTCCCTGGAGGAAGGGTCAAGAGGGGGGAACCCCCAAAAACTCTCCACTCCTATCTTTGGTACACAACCCTCCTGTAGCCAACTACCACTTCTCATGTTCTGCGTACCTGTCTTCCTTTCCCCCATCCTGGAACATCTATACTCTGTATTTCAAGTCTCTCAAATATTCTGGGAATCTGTTTTGCTGAGCAGCCATCTTTCCATCCTATCAGACATGCTGGTGGTGTGTGTTTGTCCCTTGGGAGGAGGGTATTGGATGACTCTTACATTCACAAAGTGAATATAGTACACAGGGGCACAAAGCATAAGCTGTCAATTTGGTGGCACGCTTGACATATTTCAAGCTGGGGTCTGCTTACTCCATTTTTGACAACCTGGGGGGACTTGTGGGGTTTGTTCAGGGTTTTCTATGTTTGTTTTTGGGAAATGTGCACCCTTAGGCTGAACTAGAAACCATATATTGGGAAAGCCTCAAAAGGTAATTGCAAAAGAAGTTGGATGTTCCCAAAGTGCTGTATCAAAGCACATTAATAGAAAGTTGTGTGGAAGAAAAAGGTGCACAAGCAGCAGGGATGACTGCAACCTGGAGAGGATTATCAGAAAAGGCCATTCAAAAGTGTTGGACTTTCACAAGGAGTGGACTGAGGCTGGAGTCAGTGCATCAAGAGCCACCACACACAGATGGATCCTGGACATAGGCTTCAAATGTCGTATTCCTCTTGTCAAGCCGCTCCTGAACAACAAACGTCAGAAGCGTCTTACCTGGGCTAAAGAAAAACAGACCTGGTCTGTTGCTCAGTGGTCCAAGGTCCTCTTTTCTGATGAGAACAACTTTTGCATCTCATTTGGAAACCAAGGACCCAGGGTATGGAGGAAGAATGGAGAGGCACACACTGCAAGATGCTTGAAGTCCAGTGTGAAGTTTCCACAGTCTGTGTTGATTTGGGGAGCCATGTCATCTGCTGGTGTTGGTCCACTGTGCTTCATTAAGTCCAGGGTCAACGCAGCCGTCTGCGGAAGGAAGCATGAAGTGCTCCAAAATCTCCTGGTAGACGAGCTTTATGGGGGTGCTGACTTAACTTTCCAGCGGGACTTGGCACCTGCCAAAAGTGCCAAAATCTGGTTCAATGACTGTGGGATTACTGTGCTTGATTGGCCAGCAAACTCACCTGACCTGAACCCCATAGAGAATCTATGGGGCATTGCCAAGAGAAAGATGAGAGACATTAGATAAAACAATGCAGAACAGCTGAAGGCCGCTATTGAAGCATCCTGGTCTTCCATAACACCTTAGCATTGCCACAGGCTGATAGCTTCCATGCCACGCCGCATTGAGGCAGTAATTGCTGCAAAAGGGGCCCAAACCAAGTACTGAGTACATATGCATGCTAATACTTTTCAGAGGTCCGATATTGTTCTATGTACAATCCTTGTTTTATTGATTGCATGTAATATTCTAATTTTCTGAGATTGTGGATTTGGGGTTTTCATGAGCTATAAGCCATAATCGTCACAATTATGACAAATCACGTAATGAGTCTGTCTCATTAGTTTCACCTTTTTTAAGTTGCATTACTGAAATAAATGAACTTTTGCATGATCTAATTTTTCAAGGTTCACCTGTATAACAGTTGGGCTTTTGTTGGAAGCTTTCACATTATAACACTTTCTTCTTTTCTT